TATTGTGTGCATGCTTGTGCAAGTTCACGCACACATCTGTACCTGTAGCGTGTGCGTGTGTGCACGCCTCCCTGTATTGTGTGCATGCTTGTGCAAGTTCACGCACACATCTGTACCTGTAGCGTGCGTGTGTGTATGTTCTGCATGCATGCACTGCATGTGTACACGTGTCTGCCAATACTGCATATATCCATGTACGTGCTCCATGCGGTCTCCCCACACCCGAGCCCCATCCCATGGCGGCAGCTTCCCCGCCGGGGACGCGGAGGCCCTCACCTGGGATGGAGAGCTGGTGGAGGGGCACGTCCCAGAGCACCGGGCACAGTGCCGACATCCAGTCCGCATTTGTGGTGCACGGCAGGCTCTGGAAGCTGCTGGAAGTGCTCACCTGTCCGCCCATCGGAGGCCACCCTGTGTGACCTGAGGGAGGAAATGAAGTTTTGCAGAGGTCAACCGAGGGGACCCAGCTCCGGGCAGTGGGAAGGGGCTCACACAGCAGCCTGCAGAGCCCACGCGGTTTCCATCCTGCGGTTGCTGGTGTCTGAGGGCCCAGGTGAGCACCACCCCCCCCGCCCCGCTCCCTCTGCTGGGGTGCTAGGCTCTGGTGCAAGGAAGCCAGCGCACTCCCTTGCAGGCACCAGGGAGACACCCTGGGCTAGGGGATGCTAGGGGGTCTCAGGGTCCTTAACCTACAGCCCCAGCCACTGCCTTCCAGCATCTGCCAGCTGTGTGCCCAGCACACACAGGTATGATCTCCGCTCACCATCAGCAGGTGGGTGGGCGTGGGTCAGCAACGGCACAGGAAAGGGAGCCCCAAGGACGTGTCCACAGTGCTCCGTGGGCCAGTGGGCAAGACCTCGCCCCTGGTCCACATGTGCCCGTCCACCATAGCCCGGCCTCCTGACCTGCCACCTCCACGCAGAGGGGACACCCTCGGGGACAGAGCCTTGCCCCCCAGCCCTGAGGTGACATGTACTGGTTTCCCTGCAGGAGCCTGTCCTGGGCTGAGCTGTGTCCCCACCACCAGATTCCCACGTGGCAGCCCTCGTGTCCTCTCCCTGGGTCATGGGCTGGGTTCTGAGCAGGAGCACAGGAGGCGTGAGACCCGGGCCCACAGGGACCACGCAGCGTGCCGGCCACCACGCAGGCGTTTCCGACCCACTGTCTAGGAGGGACAAGTTCCCTCTGGTCTGGATGTGGCCCTTCCTCTGGTCAAGTGTCCCCCTGTCGGAGCTCTGCCGGTACAGCAGGGGCGGGGGGTCAGAACTGGCGTCCCGGAAATAACCCGCTTTGCCATAGGATGACTTTGAGCTGAAGGAGGTTGAGAAAAAGCCGAGACAGGAAAAACTCCCTGCCTTTCTCCTCTCGGCCTGAAAGCGGCACAAGTTCCTTTCCTGAAGCCATCCCTGCTCTGTCCCCTGCACCAGGAAAGGGAGGAATGTTCCCTCCAGGAAAGTCTGCATGACAAGCCTCACTAAGGAACACTTACCCCCCGTCGTGTCCCCGAAGCATTTGCCTTCTCATAATTGACTGTCGCTATGATGCCAACCGCCTTTCCCTCCGGCTTGTCACCTCCCCGCAAATGTGTCACCCATTGTTGAAATGGCAGGTAAGCCCACAAGTCTACCTCCATGAATCTACTTCTTTTCCGTGAAGGCCTCTGTACACATAGAGAATCAACCTCTTCTCCTGCCTATCTGTCTTTTGTTGTTTTATTTCTTTTATTTTGTATTTTATTTTATTTTATTTTTCGGACAAGCTCTATGCCCAACATGGTGCTTGAACTGTCAGCCCTAAATTCAAGAGTAGCATGCTCCACCCCCTGAGCCAGCTAGGCACCCCCGTCTTTCACCATTTTAGTTTGCTTGTCTCAGTCACAGAACCTAAGAGTGTAGAAAAGAATTCCTCTTGGTCTACAATGCCTCTAGTACACCAAAAGCCAACACTGCTGGTTCTCATTCTGCCTCGACGGCAATAAGGACTGGTCCTCTACCTCGTCCATAAGAGGGTCCTTGACATACTCTACTGGCTCCCCTGCCATCCATCTTCACTTGTGGCCTATCCCAGAACTCTCTCAGCTCACACTTGGTGTCAACAGTGTCCCTGCAGGAGTGAGTGTGGGACCCCAGACCTCCTGGGGGGGAGGCTGACATTCACACAGCTGGCGTCCAGGCGGTCAGGGGCTGGGCTGTGCCATACACACACACACCCAGGAACCATTCCTTGAGTTGCCATCCAGGCACGGATGGGCCACCACCTGCCCGGCACCCACGCAGGTGTCTGGAATGAAGGCGGATCAGGCATTGTGTAACTCCATCCTCAGAATTCTGTAAGTGTGTGTTGGTGAACCTCACCGGGGAGTGGGGGCAGCCTGGATGGGGACACATAGCCCCTGCATCCTTGTTAGGAGAACAGAGGCTGGGGCCCTGTCTCTCCCAGCTGCCGCCCCAGGGGCCTCTTCAAACCCAATTGAAGCACTGACAGGAGCCCAGCCCCATCCCAGTGGCCCCGGACAGGGGGCTCCGGTGGATCCTGGGATCTCCCAGGGGCTCATCATTTTGCCTCCAAGGAAAATGACTCTCTGAACTTCAAACTGAAGGGGGACAGAACACAACCCCCTCAAAATGTGCTCTTTGGGCATTAGGGTTGTTCCCAGCAAGGAGCACCACAGACAAACTCCAGAACAAGGCACATGGTTCCCCCCACAGAGGCAGTTCCCAAGCAGACAGGAAATGTCCAGCCGTCCCCGCACCTGGGAGAGGTCCTGGGGGCACCTGCACCCCCATGTTGTCCTCACCGAGCTGGACCACCTCCCGGATGAGCAAGGCTGCCCTGGGGGAGGGGATTGCACAAAACAGGGCTGAGAGCAGGTTTGCAGAGCCCAGGACCCCGCCGGTGAGTTTCCAGAGCCTCCCACCTGTGAGTGTGCTGGGAGGTGGCACAGCTCATTCTCGGGGTGATGGTGACAGGTGACAGGGTGAGGCTCAGGAAATAGCTCTCTGGTGAGTAAACAGACGGACATGTGGCCAGCAAACCGCCTGACACCCTGGGCCTCCTTCTCCTCACCAGGTTCCCCAAGGCTCCTTCACCAGCCCATCCTCCCTGATCTGCCTGTCCAGAGGTCCTGCCCCAGCACCCAGGGACTGGCTGTGACCCCCCCCCCCCCCGCCGAGCCAACAAGTCCTTCACCTGCCCGGCAGCTAGGTCAGGGCCCAGGGCACCTGCCACCCTCAGGACCCTGGGGCCACAGCCAGGGTGGGGGGTTCCAGGCTCCACTCTGACCCCAGCCGGTTCCCTCCACCTGCCGGGCAGGGACACCAAGCCTGGAGTGGACATTCTGGTGGCGGGTCCTGCTGCCCCTCTAGCCGGGTTGGGAGGAAGCAATAGCTTCAACGCAGGACCCTCCGGACTCCCTGTTCCCTGGCCCCCCACCGGCGCCCCTGGCTGGGACCACCTGTCAGCCTGCTGTCCCCACGGCGGACCCCTGCGCTCAGCCAGGAGGCACTAACCGCGGGCCGCAGTCGCTCCCCCAGGGTTTCCGGCAGAGGCTCCCTCCTCTGCCTCAGATGCTCCAGCACTTCCTAAAATGCTCTCTGCGGGTCATTGGCTGCCCCAACACCGCCCCCGGGGGGAGGAGCAGCGGCCTGCCGGACACTCAGTTCCTGCTGTGCGGTGGGGGGTGGGCGGCTGGGCGGTGCAGGGTGCAGGGGGGGTGGGGACACACAGCAGCCTACCACCCCCAAGTCCAGACCAGGGTCCCCCCAAGTCCAGACCAGGGATCCCCAAGTTCAGAGCATTGACCGCCCCAAGTTCAGAACAGGACACCCCCAGTCCAGAGCAGAGACCCCCAAATCCAGAGCAGGGATCCCCCAAATCCAGACCAGGGACCCCCAAGTCCAGACCAGGGACCCCCAAATCCAGACCAGGGACCCCCAAGTCCAGACCAGGGATCCCCCAAGTCCAGACCAGGGACCCTCAAGTCCAGAGCAGGAATTTTACGTGGACAGCATTGCCCCAGGGTCTACCGGTCTTCACATCCCCAGGCTGCAGGGACCGGACCCTCACACAGGACAGGAGGGCATCCTGAGGGCATCCCGAGTGTGACCGTGGGGTCAGTGAATGGGGGATGGGGACAGAAAGACCCTGGGTGTGACCAGGGGACACAGCAGTCAGGGGACAAGGCACCAGGATGGTCAGCAGCCAGGATAGGGGAAAGGAGGACATCCTGAGAGCCTGACCGTGCTCTGGCTGTGGTCTGGACGCCGGGGCCAGAGCAAATAAGACTTTCATCAGAGCCCGGATTGCCTCACACCCGTGGGTGCCGGCACCTCTGATCTCTGAGCACACTGGCCGGCAAAGTGACCCTGTCCTGTACTGAAGTGTCCGGCCATCTGGCCTGAGTGGCCCTTGTCCCGGCCCCAGTCAGGGGACTCAGGGCACGTGCACATCTGCAGACCGGCCCACTCAGATGCTGACCCCAGGTGACTGGGAGCCCAGCACGTGAGACCCTAGTCCTGCCTCCGCCCCCCACCCCCCAAGCCCCGTCTGCTCAGCAAATGTGCCTCACGGCAAGTCTGCGGGAGACTGGCTGGGACCAGAGGGGACACCGACCATAGGAAGACAGGACTAACCTGTGGGGCCCGGGGCTCAGGGGGCTGGCTCGGCCCAGGGTGTGGGTGGGGCTCTCCAAGGTGGCCTCCTTCCACCCGGTGCCAGGCACCCTCCCCCTTGCAGCCCTGTGGCTGCCTGTGCCCTGGGGCCAGGGGTCCACAGCCCACTGGCTTCTGTTCCCTGCCCTCCTCTCTCCCCTTCTCTTCCCCCTCCTCTGGCCTCTGCTCCTCCTCCCTCTCTGCATTGAGACCCAGCTCCCTGCCCACAGCCCCCTCCTTGGCCCCCAGTCTCCCCTCCACAGCCCAGGACCCCACACAGACCCCATAAAATGGGGCTCTGGGCTCCTGAGCTCTGGGGACCTTGACAGTGACCTCACGTGGGCTGCCTGCGGACCAGACCCTCCCTCCCTTCCGTCGGTTTCGGACATCTGGCCTCCACTGGGCTCTACTGCCCGTCCTGCCTCAGATGGGACCACTCCCCGGAAACCTGTGCATGGCAGGCCCCCCAGTGCACTGGCCTGGAGGTCGCTGCAAAGGCTGAGCTAAAGCAGGGACTGGCCTGCCTCACCCGGGGAGGGGGGGCGTGGGCGTGCAGTCCCAGGGGCTGTGACGTGGACACGGAGGGAGGAGGAGCAGGGGGGATGCTGTGGACAAGGACACCCAGCCTCGCTGGCTCTGCGGCGGGAGGAAGGGCCGGGAGCTGAGGTATGCGGGGCTCTTGGAGCTGGACAGGCTGGACAGTCCGGGGCTCTTGGAGCTGGACAGGCTGGACAGTCCGCAGGGACCTGCCCACACCCGGATGGGCCCCACCCACGGCACACTTGCAGCCTCCTGGGGTGGGGGTGTCCAGAACAAGCGTGTGCTGCCTGTGGAAACAGCGGACTCCCCTGCACCCCCCACCTCCGTCCACCAGGCCCTGCTTGTGGCCACTTCCTCCAGGCAGTCCTCCAGGCTGCACTGAGGCCAGAAGCCCCAAGGCCTCATCCCTGCAGGGTCTCAAGGTCTCGACCCCCTGACCCCCTCATGCCCCATGAGGGGTGTCTCGTCCCGCTGACCCTCACGCCCCATGGGGGGCTCTCCTTGCAGACCCTCACACCCTGTTCGGGACAGAAGCTACTGCTGTCTCATTCCCACCTCTGGGAACCAGCACGGGGTCCACACACTCGCCGCAGGCCTCCTGCGCCAGGGCAGTAAGCATGTCTGGGGTGAAGACCCACCTGTCACCGATGTCACCCATGAGGGGAAGGGACAGGGGTGTTTCCCGAGCCCAGGACCCTGCGTGGCCTTTCTAGACAATCTTCCTTTGGGCTCCTTCTGTGTAATGGTTGGTTAGGTGTTTAAGGCAAGCGTTGGGGCCACTCCCCATGCTGGGCACCACCCCCTGTCTGGTTCCAGAACATTCTCCCCAAAGCACACCCGCTCACTCCCAGTCGCACCCCTGCCCTCCCCGATGGCGAGCACACAGCACATCCCTTGTCGCACGGACCTGCTGGGCTGGATGCCTCCTGTGTGCCGGGGCCCTGGGCCTGCCTCCTCGCTGGGCACCACCTCCTCCAGGTTCCCCCGATACCTGGTACCCGCAGGGCTCAGCGCCTCACCCCTGCCTACAGCCCAGCACTGAGGCATGATGCCTTGAGAGTCACGTTGACGTTCCGCACACTGACACGCCGCACGGGTCCCCGTGACAGGGAAATCACAGGCAGAACCGGACGGGTTCAGGGTGTCCGGGGGGCAAGTTCTGGACAACCGTACATGGCGTCCTCCTCACACAGGGTCACCTCGAAGACACTGACCAGGCACAGCTGCGGGTCCACATGGGCTGGCTCCTGCCCCCAACCCCACTGTGGATGTCCCTGCACCTGGGTCCCCTCCCCCAACCCCACTGTGGACGTAGCTTCATCTGGCTTCCCCCAAACCCCACTTTGGCTGTCCCTGCACCCAGGTCCCGTCCCCCTAGGAAATGGACGTGGAAAGCCCTTCATCTCTGTCCATGTCTCAGAAAAGATAAAAAAGACGGGACCTGCTCCTTCTGCTCTCTGCCAAGCAGGCTTCTGGGACCTCCCCTCTGATGTGAACCCCTGTTTCTCTCGCAGCTGTTCTCTCTTTGCATTTGCGTTTCTTCCTCAGGAAATCATGACTTTCATTTTCCTTGAAATTTGCCTCATTCAGGAAGTGTTCGAACGACGCGGCAGAAGGCTCATGTGATTTTTGTTGGTTTGTTCTATTAACACATAATGTATTGCTTGTTCCAGGGGTACAAGCGTGTGATTCATCAGGCTTACACCATCCACAGCGCTCAGCACAGCGCACACCCCCGCAGCGTCCACCCCCAGCCACCCCGTCCCTCCACCCCCTCCAGCAACCCTCAGTTTGTTTCCCGAGATCAGGAGTCTCTCATGGTTTGTCTCCCGTTTCCCCTGTGAGCCTCTGCCTTGTTTCTCAGGTTCCTCGTATCAGGGACGTCACACGGTACGTGCGTGTCTGTGACTGATGAGTTTTGCTCGGCGTAACCCCCTCCGGTTCCATCCGGTCTTGCAGATGGCAGGCGCATGTGACTTCGGCTCATGGTTCACAAGAATCCCGCCCACACCTGTGCCTGCATCGTCCACCTGCCGCCGTGTCCCAGGGTCCCACTGTTCTCGGGCGGGACCCCGACCGCCCACTGTGCCGGCAGGATGCAGCGTGGTCCCCCGTGGGCCCAGGCTTCACTCGCCACTCCCCGCAGGAGTGGGACACAAAGATGAAGAGACAGGGACAGGAGCCACGGGCTCGGGGCCACACAGAGTTGGCCGCCTGGGCAGGAGGGCACCCACCTGGCACAGGTCCTTGGAACTCTGAAGGGGCACGAGAGAGGGACCCCTGGGGGTCCTTTCAAAGGCAGGGCTGAGAGATATGCCACACCTCTGGGGCACAGAGGAGGTGCATGGTCACCCTCCCCACGGAGACCCCCTTCCTCACCACCTGTGCTCTGTCAGGTGGGGTCACCCCTCCCCCACGGACACCCCCTCCCTCAGCACCTGTGCTCTGTCAGGTGGGGTCACCCCTCCCCCACAGACACTCCCTCCCTCAGCACCTGTGCTCTGTCAGGTGGGGTCACCCCTCCCCCACAGACAC